GTGTCGATATTACTTACATTCTCAAGAAGGGTTTTGTTCAATATTCGTTAACAAGGTTGAATGAAAGGTTCCTAAGTTACAAACGATCGTGAGTGAAATAAGAAACCGTGACTGCTTAACACCAAATATACGAGGGCTTACATCTGAATCATATTCCAAAAGTTATCAAATCTTTCAAATTGCAACTTGCAACTTGCAACCTGTCGAACTTCAGTACGTGTCGACTGTCGAACTAGAGTCCAGGTATAGCGCACTCTAGTTCGACAGAGACGAACTTTAGGGTTTGTCGAACTACAGTATATGTCAAACTAGTGTACGTGTACCGTCAGATCTAAAAAATGCTATCATAATACTCTTTCAACACAAAGGAAAAGACTGCGATCGAACAAAAACTACACGTAAGAAATGTACCTACACCAAGAACAAATCTCTGTGACAAAGTAAAGCTTTAACTCTTTAACAAAAACTTGTCCTCGTCCTCCGATCATTCGTAAACTGTGGAGAATGATGATCTATTTTGAATGTAGTGTATTGCTGTAGCACTAGATTTAGTGTTAGTATCTCATGATATTAACAATACGGGTGAAAACGGGTGAAGCTATAAGTGTCTGTGTAGTGTATATTTAAGGTCACTATTGTGACGGTACATTAGAACTAGACAGAAACAAAGTTTGAAGAGCCTGAACAGAACCCCTCGGTTTCAGATCCTTGTTTAACACTGCCATATGAGGCTAAACATAGTGATATTTTTTATACCATCTAGCCGCATACACCTATGGTACAGTTCATACTATGCTGCTTTATTGTAAAACACTTGAAGACGGACACACTGTCTCCGATCTCTTAAATCTTGTGGTTCTCTTTCTCAATAGTGGCTTTGTAATGGATGAACGTTACAGTATGCACTCTTTTTTAGTTTCCTTCAAGGTTCCGCCTTTAAGAGATCCAGATTACTCTCAAATATTAATTATCTTGCCACTTGATGAAATGAATGACTAAGTTATTTTTAAAAGGTATTAATAACTTCCTCAAAGATATAATGGGGCGCACCCGAACCAAACAGCAAGATCAAAAAAAAAGCGTTATGCGTGACCATATTAAAATGACAATAAATCGTATTCATAGATATTAAAATTTGGTATTCATTAATACACATTACATAGCACACATTATATAGCACTTGCCAGATAATAGCTTGTAGAAATTCATGAATATAACATTTTATGAATATTAAATATGATTTACTGTCATGTAGGTTATCTACGTGACAATCTAGGTGGAAATAATTATTATTTACGAGAGTACCCATCTTTGTGCGGATATAGACTATAGACTATAGACTTTAATGTACACCGCCTGTACTGTTCGTCTGTTCTACCCATCTACTGTTAAACGCTAGTATGCGAGTAAAACAAATTAGGAATATATGATTCCTAATTGTAATCTCAGATTCATTTACTCCAGTCGCTTCCACTTGTTTAGTAATGAGCAGGTTTTATTAGACACGTGACAGCGATTAACCAGTCAGCTTAATATATAAGCAGCATCCTAACAAATCCACTTACAAACTGATATAGAAAACCATCTCATAGTTAACTACTTTAGAAAAGCTTCATCGTCAAGTCCAAGCAAATTATTATTTAAAAAACGACGAAAAACAATGACAATTGAAATGAAAGAAAAGAAAAAAGAAAATCTCTTGTCAGGTTGTTGTAGACTCTTATATATAATACTCTACTTTATAATATACACCATAATATAAACTATAATATACACTATAATATACACTAGAACAGTATATAATAACAGTGTACAGCTGTCTACAATAGTACAGCTACCTAGAACTCTAAAATAGGACAGCTGTGTGTGTGTGTGTGTGTGTGTGTGTGTGTGTGTGTGTGTGTGTGTGTGTGTGTGTGTGTGTGTGCGTGCGTGCGTGCGTGTGTGTGTGTGTGTGTGTGTGTGTGTGTGTGTGTGTGTGTGTGTGTGTGTGTGTGTGTGTGTGTGTTTGTGTGTGTGTGTGTGTGTGTGTTTGTGTGTGTGTGTGTGTGTGTGTGTGCGTGCGTGCGTGCGTGCGTGCGTGGAAATCACATTACGAAAAAGTAGTAAGAAATCCAGCGAAACGGTAACACAGTATTATAGAATGCATTAGCAGAGTGGGGACTAGGACTGTAATAGGAAAAGAGGAGTAATATTATGCTCAATACCCGGTAATGACCGATCGTTTTGAATCTACAGATTACACTCAGGATATAAAAGAAGAGCTTATAACACCCTGGACAATTGTATCGTTATACAAGCATGGGGGGGGGGGGGGGGGGGGGCCAATGGCATAAAATGGCATAAAATGGCATAAAATGGAGACTTTTTCTATGGAGAAAATGGAAAAACCCATGAGTAATTCTCCATTTTCTCCATTTTATGCCATGAATTTTGTCTTCGAAATTTCATCTTTAACACCATTTAACACCTAAATTGGACATCCTAACATGTTTATTTACGCTTACTAGGGGCGTAACAAGCTTATGAAAGCTCATAGTAGGCTACTAGATGCTTATACTAGGTTAGTAGAGGCACACTTCAGGCAAACTCATAATTACTCAAGCCTAGTGTAAAGTTATTTCTACAGGCTACAGCAGGAGTGAGTAATAGGGGAGAGTAATAGGCACTGAGAAGTGAGACCTACATCCTCGACAGTCGAAACAAGCTCGCACTGCAAAGGGGGGGGCCTGCCTTCCGAGATCGCATTATCAGGGGAAAGCCTCGAGTCCAAATTTGTGTATCGAGGGGTAGGTGCAGACTTCGATAAACCGAAAAACCTAAAAATTATTTTCGGCTTATAATGAAGAGGGTAGCATGAAACGTGGAGAAAAGTGGTTATTAGAAAAACTTTGAAAAATTTTGACTTAGATAATTTTCGGCCCGAGTCATTCTCGATACGTACCTCTCGTATCGAGAGCTCCCGATTCCGAGCTCGTGTTGCAAAGGGGAGGCCTACCTTCCGAGATCGCATTACCAGGGGGAAGCCTCGAGTCCAAAATTGTGTACCGAGGGGTAATTTTTTAAGTCAAAATTTTTCAAAGTTTTTCTGAAAAACACTTTTCTCCACGTTTCATGCTACCTTGTTCATTATAAGCCGAAAATATTTTTTCGGTCAAAATTTTTCAAATGTTTTCTGAAAAACGCTTTTCTCCACGTTTCATGCTACTCTGTTCATTATTTGCCGAAAATATTTTTTCGGTTTTTCGAAGTCCACACCTTCCACAATTTTGGACTCGAAGTAATGCGATCTCGGAAGGCAGGCCTCCCCTTTGCAACACGAGCTCGGAATCGGGAGCTCTCGATACGGGAGGTACGTATCGAAAATGACTCGGACCGAACATTTTCTAAGTCAACATTTTTCAAAGTTTTTCTGAAAACCACTTTTCTCCATGTTTCATGATACTCTGTTTATTATTGGCCGAAAATATTTTTTCGGTTTTTCGAAGTCCACACCTTCCCCTCGATACACAATTTTGGACTCGAGGTAATGCGATCTCGGAAGGCAGGCCTCCCCTTTGCAACACGAGCTCTCGATACGGGAGGTACGTATCGTAAATGACTCGGACCGAACATTTTCTAAGTCAACATTTTTCAAAGTTTTTCTGAAAACCACTTTTCTCCATGTTTCATGATACTCTGTTCATTATTGGCCGAAAATATCTTTTTTTATACATATAAATTTTTCTCGAAATTCTAAATTTTTCAGGTTTTCAATGGCATAAAATGGCATAAAATGGCATAAAATGGAGACTATTTCTATGGAGAAAATGGAAAAACCTATGAGTAATTCTCCATTTTCTCCATTTATGCCATTGGCCCCCCCCACAAGCATCTATTATTCATATATATATTATATAAGACGCACCATTTGCTTGGAGCACTGGAGCAGGCGCTATGATTAAACAATGGTCCCGTCAATAAGTCTTAAAGTTTTAAAGGATCAGAGTGGACGAAATCGCCGGTTATCTCTACCCTCTTTTACAACGGATAATTCAAAGTAGCCCGGTTTCTGGGCTACTTTTAATTATATGCTTATTTAAGGCGGGGGGGGGGGGGGGGGGGGCGATTATCATGGGATGGGATTGTATGCGACTCATTTTAAAATGAGTCATATACAATCCCATCCTCACACCAGGTCATGTGACGTGTTACTAACACCACGTGACGTGTTACTAACACCACGTGACGTGTTACTAACACCACGTGACGTGTTACTAACACCACGTGACGTGTTACTACTAAGTGTGTTATCCTGTGTTATCCTGTGTTATCCTGTGTTATCCTGTGTTATCCTGTGTTATCCTGTGTTATCCTGTGTTATCCTGTGTAATCCTGTGTTATCCTGTGTTATCCTGTGTTATCCTGTGTTATCCTGTGTTATCCTGTGTTATCCTGTGTTATCCTGTGTTATCCTGTGTTATGTGGTTTAGAAAAACGCTGGATGAGAAGGCGTCTTAACAGTAAAATATTTAAATAATAAATATTTTAGCGCTGAGGAGGTATAATACTAAAATAATATTAGCTTGTTTCCTTTTTTCTAGCATTATGATCAAGATCACACAATAGCACAACTCACACGGCACTTTTCACACCGGAAAATGATGTAATGTGATAGAAATAAGATCAGCCAAGATAAAAGCTTCGTTTTGATGTATGTGCCAGCTTCCAAAGTGGGATCATACGCACGTTGATAATGTACAGATTTAGAAAATGCTGACTTGTGAAGTGGAACTGCCACTACCGGTTCTGCGAGGATCAAAAGCTCCAGAGAGATCTCTTTGATCTTTTATTGTTATGATTATGTACATTAACATTAAGTGCAGATTTCTGCCGGGGTTTGAAGATGCCGGGGTTATGATTAAATAATTATGATGTAATGTTGTTGCAAGCTTCTCTAACCAATACCACGTATCCTGTATTATCCCATATCACATGTCTAATCTAATAAAAAGCCATACCTGCTTGTTCTGGCTTAAAGTTGGTGATATCGTCCATGATAACAAAGTTAGAAGTAAGGGCGGCCACCTCGTACGCTGTCTGTCCGGCCTTGTTGCGTATCGTCTTGTCAATGCCCCGGTAGAGGAGTTGTCTGGCACAGTGGACCTGCAAAGAGGGGTTATCACCTTGTGATATCATGAGTAATGACGTGGGATACTGGGAGAGGCTAGTGACGGGGTATATATATATATATATATGTGATAATAACAAATGAAATGGTTAGTATGGTGCCAGCGGTGCAGTGGGTTCCCCCTCTCTACCACTCACATGATGTGGTGCTTGTGTATAATGTGGCATCCCTGAAAGCAAGCAAATATGGATGGTCAAATTACACGCAAAGTAACCACTGTAGCTGACCTTGTTAAAGCTAGCACTGATGTGAAGAGCCGAGTTGCCGGCGGAGGTCTTGCCGTTTATCTCTGCTCCGTACAGCAGTAACAACTCCACTAGGTCTGTCTTGCCTCTTTTACAGGCCTGTGTTAAAACCATATTAGCATTTAGCACGTTATAGCATATGTAATACTGGGAGAGGGGTTACTTCGGGACATTAGCAGGTTAGGCACTTGTAAATATTGGAAATGGGATTGTACGGGTTGTAGAAAAAACACCGGAAATGTAAAATTAGTGAGCTCCCAAGCCTCATCGAGACCATCATGGGTTGTCTTAAAATTCCTGCCTATTAAAATAGATTCCCTAACTACATTACAAAAACTGCGGTGTCGTTGTTGACTATAACTAGCACAGGAATGTAAACAATGCACAAACCTGATGTAACTCATGCCACTGTCCAGTATTATCCACTATATTAAGATCACATTTCTCCTTCAGCAGTATTTCAGCAGTTAAGGTACTATTTCCGTCGCAGATAGCGTTATAAAGAGGTGTCATGCCCTTCAAGTCTCGAGAGTTAACAGAGGCTCCCACGTCCAACAATACCTGGATCATTGACCACGTTAGAGATCACAGTTAAATAGTTGATCTGTGAACTAAGAATTACAGGATGAAATATTAGGTAAACCAGGGGGACAGTGTTACATTTAACTTAGACATAATAAACGGCGACCTTTGCGACACGGGAGGGCACGTGGTTCCAGCATGTGCTGTGATAAATTCTGACAAAACTCTTTAGTTTCAGAAATATGTCATTGAATAAACCCTGTGATGATTTAATTCATAGTCTGGCCATCGGCGCCGGCCCTATTTAAGGTGTCTCTATGAACCATCCAATATAAATAGAAACAGCTGTCAGCTACTTGCAATGCGTTGAAAGATCAAATTTTGCTTGCCCGTTCCCGCCTCTTCTATACTACAATAATAAATCACAACGTAACGCGCATTGACGCGCGCACTAAAACATAAGCCCTATGTAATGTTTTCTCTGTAAAGTAGTTGTTGCGCCCTTCTGCTACGTTTTCTAAGTGCTTTAGAATCATTCGTATTATCATCACATTATTGAGGGTAGCAAATCAAATAAATTTGATCGGCGTGTACATGCCATCATGCAAGAACTGGAGGGATTTTTACGCAACACTGAGTTATGATCTATAAGCTGCAGTCAAAACACAAAATTATCGAAAATCGTGTACGTGCAGATGTATCGATCGAGATTTGTAATCGTTTTCACGTTCAAATTTATTTACTTTAGTGTTTAACTTAATCCGAGAGATCACAAGCTTACTCTAAATGTAATAATCACATTAAATTAATTAAATGAAATTTTCTAAACCGATCAACTCCTTAGCATTTCGTCAGCTACCAGCTGAACGTCACCAAGTGCACACTTAACACCGGCCAATTGGGAATATTGGAGCGCCCCTCCAGAGCTCCCTTTATTGGATCTATATTAGGAATCCATCGTTAACATATATTACTAGACTATTATACACTGACGTTATAGCAGGCTAATTTTAGAACTTACTGCCAGAAGTGCTGCTCATATCTTTGTGGTAGATATCTTGGTAAACAAGGCACACCAAAGATAAACAAAAGTCGGCGAAATTAGACTGGTTGGACTGGTTATAAACTGGTTATAAACTGGTTATAAACTAGGACTGTTGTTCTCAGTTTAATTACTAGAAAGTGTCGGACTATATACACTGGCATGGTTAAAAGTATGGTATGGTTAAAAGTATGGTAGTACGACATTATTCATGGGAGCAAGTTTAACACGACAACAGTAAAAACATTGCAGCAGTACTTTAACAGTACTATACTGAAGCAGTCTATTTTACTAACATTATACTCTTACCACCATTAAGCCATTATTACCACGCCCTGCTTAGTTTTAGTAATCGGGTTGAAATCTTCCACAACAAAAGTTTTCTATGTGCCGGGCAATTGTAATAATTATTATCGTACAATAGGAGTAACTCAACTGCCAGACTTTAGAAAGTTAGGAGTAGACATCAGACATGGGACAAATAAAAACACGTTTTCGAAGCAAGGTTAAAATCGATCACAATGAACGTTTTATTTATTTGATCTATTCAGGTAGGGTTCAATTCAGCTGCCAGACTGGTGACAAATTGATTCATGAGTATTGAGTTGCCACTATTCATTGTTTATTATCACAAGCATTGCTCCATTATGTACTGATTATAAACATCTCTAAAACTCGGCTGTTTAGTATCCATTACCAAGATGAAAGAGTTGCAGCGTTATAAAACTCAGTGTTTCAGTGTAGTTAAACAGCTAACTAGATGTGGTAGACGTCATACACATTTACAAGCTGTATAACACACTGACACTGCTCGATACTATTGTTCTCAAACACACACACACGTCACCAGATATCTTATATCTTCCAAGTTGGAAGTGTAAACAGAGGGGATCTCACACTGCACTTTCATTATAGGGAACATACTTGTTACCTGGTAGATATACACAGATGACACATACCTGCCCACATACCTGCACACAATTAATGATACTGTCCAGTCATGATCTATCAATCAGTTATCAGTTTAGACTACTCCATAGTTAATAGCTTTACCAACGAAATTCATTAAGCAATTAAGGCCAGCGAATCATCAAAGGCCCAGCATTGCAAGCAATCACAAACTTAACCTAGACAAAATCCCTTTCTGAGTCCTACCTCGCACGTTCAATGAGATAATATCTTTTCTACAACTAACCCCAATGTTCCAATAATAGTAATACGTGCCGTGCGTGCATTGGAATTTCCTTATCGGACTATGGAGATATCTCTTATCAATTAGATCAACCTGATCGAACCCTTTTAAATACCTATCTGCCCTTAATTTTCCCTCCCTCGTACCTGAAACAAGATCATATAGCCTCCAATTTAGCTGACCACAATCCTACAATAACAAGTGTAATATAAAGCAATTAAGAATGAGTGTACCTGCATTGACTCGTGCATGCCATTGACTGAGGCGTGGTGTAAAGCTGTGTACCCGTTCTTATCCCTAAACTCCAGGAATGCACCGTATCTACAAAGTAACATTATCATCCTCTTAGGTTCCTTACCCAGCACTGACTTGGTTAGCGGCGTGTCTGAAAACAGAGATATTTTACTTTTTACCGAGGCTCTTGTTTCCTGTTACCGACTGATTTACTTAGGTTTTACCAGTTTGTACTGATTTGATCAACTATTGGAAAGTCAGTAGTCCCACGAATGCCATGAATACCGATCTTATGTTAATATTGTTAAAAAAGTAGGCAAAGTTTTGGGGTATTGAAAAGTTTCAAGGAGGCACGGTCCCGATCAATTTAACTACGCATAACATATTGTAGCATTAGCCTTAAATGTGTTAGAATTAGTCATTATTTGCTTTTTGTGGTGACTAAAAGGGCGAATTTATCATTAAATTGCATTATCGGTATCAGATAGCATCATACGATATCGCAGAATAGTATTCATTCCTTGTTTAGTTGTTAAACAGGTTGCATTATTACGTAAATAAATACAAAAATATGCAGTTAGAATTGAATAAAAATTCAAAATCTTACGTCCAGAACCCCGATGAATAAAATTGGGATCCAATCCTCTCTCCAAGAATTTTAGACATTTCTCCAAATTTCCGTCGGACACATATTCAAAGAATTTGTGTTGAGAGTCCTGAAAAAGGTCGATATTAATGATATTAATGTTATCAAGAACAGATGATACAGTTCCAAGGAATCTGAGCTGTCTTAAAACGTGTGCAGATCAGACCCTAAACGAAAGATCTAACAATTAATCACATTCCTTACACTCCTACGCACAGGGGATTATATCCTAGTTTTATTGTTTATTGTCTATGTATAAAACTGCGACTTTGAAAACGTGACTTAACACTTAACAGTTTATATATTTATGTAAATTTATATTATCAGTATCACGGGGAACAAACAAGTTTCCTTTCTGTGTTTAAAATTTTCTGTGGACAAAATAATTAATCAAGGTGTTCCTCATAAGTTCGTTCACCAAACCCGAATATTCATTTACATTTCTCCGACCATACAAATAAATCTTGAGCCACAATAGGGCTCGTACACATATTACACAATCACTAAGGGGAGGGGGGTGGGTTTCGAAATGATAATGATTTGTAATTTTTACACAACAGCTATGTGAGGATGTGTAAAAGGTATTAAGGAGGGGAAGGGTATCTAACAATGGCTTAAAGTTGATTATGCAATATGTGAATGGCCCCACTCTGTAATGGATTACCAAGTCCAACATTGGATTTGGAAAATAGCGGCTACATAAATTGGCTACTTTAAATGGCTCTACGAGTTAGCACCATGGAACTAAATGCAGATATAGGTGATTACGGTAGACACGGACCATTCAAATTATAAGTTCCTTCAAATAATACTGGTTTTCTCATAGGGGTCGTTCACATATTACGTAATCAGTCGAATGATTACACTATAAGTGTAATTTTGACACAATAGCTATGTGTAAAAATGATTACGGAGGGGGAGGGGGGCTAACAATTGGCCAAAAATTGATTATGTAATATGTGAACGACCTCATACTCTAACACGCGTGTTATTCTATAGTCTATACGATTGGATTAGATACAGTTCATCTAAAAAGGGCCAAATAACCAGTTTTCATTCCACCCATAGTTGCGTTATAAAATAATGTAATTGTTAGCGGTGTGACATGGTGCTGTAAGTTTAAAACTATGGTTAATTAAATCCCTATAAGTGTAATGTTAAGCAAAGGGCGACCCTTACTCTTGCCGTAAACTGAGTAAATTGCCAACAGATAGAATGTAAACATTCTGTATTGTAAGGGTTTTAAGGTTATTCATGGTATGCATTGGTCTGGCTTTTCATTCAAATTTTATTCCGCTTTCGAATTATTATTGTATCTACACTTTTTAACCCTATATAATAATATCAATATCACATTCAATAGAATGCCCAATTTTGGAATTCCCCAAATTTTAACCAGTATTATACATAACGGATATTTTCTAAACTTTACAAAACATCAGGGATCAGATATTCGTGGCTTGACTGGCTTCTTTGATTCGTGTTAGTTACTATAAAAGTTTACCGAATAAAATATTTACCCCCAAAAAAGGGCACAAAGTGTCGGTTGTTATCTGAGTTATCAGTAATGGAAGTTTTCCCCGAGTGACACTGTGAGTTGTGACACTGTCGTAGATCTAAACCTAGTAAGTTTGAACATCAAAAAGAACAATTTAATCTTCTGACAGAGTTGCTCTATAAATAAACTTCCTCAATGCAACAAGCCTGTGATATTAAAAACATTTACCGAGAAAATCTTAACATAAAGCTCTGACCACACCCTTTTAACGCTCTTTCTGGATAACAATTATTAACGTACCCTGTTATACCCTGATCAATGCTGACAGTAAAAGTACGATAGTTCTACCTGTATTACCAACCACATACTCAGTCGGTGACTTACTGCTTTACTAACATTTTCAGCACTTAGTGCTGTCAAATTTTATAACACAAAAAGCAGCTCCTTTGCTTGGTCCGATAATGTACATAACCTATAGGCTTGCGTTTACAATATAGAATATTATATCCAAAAACACTACCCACCTTATTTGTGTGTTACTACTTATTAAGTTTTAAAATAATGAATTATTAAGTTTTTAACAGATGTACTCATACGCGACAGTCTGGTACCGTGATCCTGTGTTATATAACTTTATTTAACACTAAATAACTACACCGTGTACTTATTATATACCCAGACCTCCAGCCACAACTATTTGACAAGAACATATCAGGTATTTGGACTATTTAGTGTACAGGTCAGTATTATATACTACATGGGTATTATTTGTACATTATAGTCCAGGTTGTCGTGCTCTACACACACGACACTAATACTAACTGACTGTCCGTGTTTTACTGCTCAGTACCTCACTATAACTTACACTACTGTTAATAATTACACCCCTTGTTACCAGATACCTCCCTACTAATTCCTAGGAAATAGTTCACCTGATATTAACTATCCCAACTATGAACTAGACGACTAATTCTCTGAAATAAGCGAACTGTCAGCGGGATTCCGTAGTGTCAAACCCCCTTCCGTACCCACCCCCCTTCCTAACTCTATTAGACTGTTAAGTGGGGTGTCGAAACCCCCTTAAATTACGTACTTAAAATAGACTTGCGTACCCCCTCCCTACCACGCTTCAACCTCGGACGAAATGCTCGGAACGTTAGGAATGCAAATGCTCACATCACCAGCCAGATACCTTACTAGAATCTAGGGCTGATAGATATTTCACATCTGGTGGGAGTATAGTGAGGATTGTTTCTGTAGCGCGGTGGGGTTGTGAGAGTTCTACGGCTTGACACGTCTCTCTAAGAAGGTGATAACAACTGTTATAAACCAGGTTCCCAAAAACAGGCTGAACTATGTCACGTGACGAACATAATATGTCATACACGGTACCACAACTTGTTATATTAAAGCTAAAATGGGCAGGAAGTTGGGAAATACTGAACAGGTACAAGTTAGGTTTTTCATCAAGACCTACCAAATCACACTGTGTTCAAACATCACACTTTTTTCAAATCACACTGTGTTCAAACATCACACTTACATGGCTGACGTAATCGGAATACGAGCCCGATAGTCGGCGTAACATTCTCAAGCCACGGAGAGACATGACTACGAGCTGACGACGAGCTGCTACCGTTTTAACAGGGTCTCATACAATGCCACTAGGCCGCTGCTCTGGTCTGATCATCGGTGGGTGGAACAGAGCTTGAAGTATGAGGACTTGGTTAGATCACGTGAGAAGATTCTATAAGAGAGTCTGTCAGTCAAATATATAGCTCACGTATGTGACCTATAACGCAAAATATTTTAGGTGTTTAACTTATAAAGTTTCTTCCGATAAAATTATTAACGTCACATCCCCCGAACTAGCAGTGAGGTCCCTGTCAAGTGGTTACTCATACTGTCACCTGTCTGTAGTCGTGAAAAATGTATCAGTTCGAATAGAGTATGGTAAGTTAAGTATGGTAAATATTTTCATCATTCAACACATTTATTGATTAACCGCTAAACTATTCGCAGCGAGCAACTATATTAGCGTTGAATAAATTACAAGGGTAAGTGCGAAAAGTTTTCAGTAGTGAGAACGTGAAGAGAAAGAATTGCTTGGATAATATCTCAGTATGCTCTGAAATCTTGATGGAGAGAGAGAAGGGTGTAAACAACAGCTACTAAATAATGAAGATGACGACGCCGTATAAAATGCAATCGCTACATAAGCGGATAACAAAACATAGCTTATAAAATGTTAAAAGGTTCAGCGTGGAAGCACGCCAAATCAAAAATAGTCTATTCTAATACTCGCCAACAAAAACACAAAGACAGCTCTCCCAGTCAAGATAAGTGACCTAACAGATGTACACTAGGTTAAACAGTAGTCTTGAAACACAGCAGAAAGATTTGCCTTAGCTGTAAGGAAAGCAAAGGACCGATACAGCGGCCTATAAAGTGCTAATATATTTTCATGTTGAGCCATCATCACGTTGTCGCTGCACACATAACAGAGAACTGAGCCGCTGGCGCTGCCAACTATTTTGAGATTTTATTTCTTTCATTCTGGGGCTTCTCTTCAATGCTTAGGCTCACCCTTTTAAGATATGAAGGTAGAGGCTGTACAAATAAATGTTAAAAAGATTAAGTATGTAATTGGGGTTGTAGTACACGATTACAGGACGCATAAAACCTTTTTAGCGCGCTAAGTGGATGTCAATTGTAGCCTCGGCTACATAAATTTGAACCTCTAAATTTTCGATGACAGTAAAATCAACAGGTTTTTGGAGCACATGCAGTACCAGTTTTCAAGACATTATGGCATTGACGTCACTTTAAACTCTCGGGATCCCACTGATATACCATTTCAAGAGCCAACGTAAACATTTTTTCATGAATAGGAACGAGTTTTATTAGAATTGGAATCTTTCAACTTGATTAGGGAGAACCCATCGAGAAAAGATCATCCAATCAGGAAGAGTAAACAGGATTGTGTAGACTTGCAGACTATGATGATTGACCCTGGAGATTGTATCGAGTTTAACTATGAACTTGTACACGCACAACGTTACAATACGAAGTCCTGGATATAATCTTAGACGTTTAATTGAGCAGCAGCACTTAAGCAGTTAGAGGAATCCATTAAAGAGGGATGTTATGGCAACTGGCAGTTAAAAACTGTTGAGGGTTTCCTTACCTACACTTCTGACATTCAGCTATTTCAACTATTAGCGGCGTACTTATACAAAACTTAATAAAAAATGTGTCAGCTTCATTTCCAAATGAAAGGCACGGATGCTCAAAGATGAAACCAAAAATAATTTGGTGTGCCAATCTTTGGGTACTGAAAAATCATTTTATTTTAGCCACTGAAATTGTTCTTGCAATCAGAATGTAACAAAGGTGTGGCCAGTTGCACCCATATCTATGGATTCGCAAAATGTGAAAATGCGCTTAAACAAAAAATTTGTTTAAACAAACTTTTTGACCAATAAAATATTTCAATTTCAGACTTTAAATATTCTCTTGTGAAAAACAAGCTATCACACAGCAACACCTTTAGCGAGTTCCGTAAGCTTATTGTACACACCAGTACACCTGATAGTACACTATTTTTACTAAAATTTGACAGCAAGATAATATTGAGCTGCCTGATTTCTTTTCATATTATAGGATATATTCGTACTTTCAAATATCATTTCGAGACAGGTGCTGAAATTTCAAACTTCGGAGCTAACTTGATAATGGATAATATTAAGGATATACATTACAACCACTTCAATTTAACTGTAATAGGCGAGATCTGTTTGTCAAACATTACACTAAAATGAAATAATGTGATTACATGCTCAAGTCTATGGCAAAGTAGAGAGATTATGAGATTATTTATTATGTATTAAGTTTGTCTGCAATCCTGGTATACATCCTATTCAACATATCTTCAGAGTTACAAGAGCAATGTATCGAGTACTATGTGCAATAAGGACCCGCGTGAGTCGTGTAGCCTACACATCTTGATTACAGCGCCAAACACAACCGAACATTATTCTAGCTTACTGGCTTGATTATTTTTGCCGCTGTATGAAATAAATCGACATCAGAGTAATTTATTTAACTTATTAATATGTGACCTTAATTCTAGTAATTTAAGCCAAAGAAGAGTTAAGGATCTTTTCAAAATTAGTGATTGTGACATGAAAAGAAACAAGTGGCGAGCTCTTACTATTATCTAGTTGACTTATTGGTTTACAAACGGGATCAAATTTAATCATATTATTCATGTTTGAACAGAGTAAGTTCATTATTTATGAAATAGTTTATAAATATATATATATATATATACGTTACATAGTTTGATAACGGTGCAAAAATTATTTTGTTTTTACTCGCGTTTTTGTCCCAATTGGGTATAGTAGATGATATTGAAAGAAGACTGAATTATGATGTGTAGCAAGATTGCAACATTTTTCCATCTAGATTTATGACGTCAGAGTTTAAAGTACTATTAAAAAGCACGCTCATTGCGCTTCGCTTCAATTGCCCATGTGCAAGATTTTGGGTCACGTGAAAACACTCCATATCTAATATCTGTGATAATTAATTGGGCACGACTTCCTACCATGTGGAACTGATCTGTGAAGATTATTGCGGGATCTCTGACCAATAGGTTGCACAATGCACAATGCACATGGGCTACCTCACAGAATTTGCTTTTGAGGGACGAGGGTGTATTAAATGTAATATAATGTATCAAAAACATTGTAACACCATAAAAATATATCGTCAAAGCTTTCCCCAATTATTTACGTGAGTGTATCACTCAAAGTCGATATCTCGAATATTCTATTTGCGGGGCTTTTGTCCCCGAAAACATTTATCATTATATTATCGGGGCTCTGGATAAGGTGACAATCGGATGTTGCGTAATCACTGAGGGTGGGGAGAGAGTTTCGAAATGATCAATGCGGTCATTCTTTACAATAGCTACGTGTAACTGTGATCGGGTAGAGGTTTGAGGAGGGCGGTCGGGAAATTACCAAAAGTTCATAACTTAATGACACGTGTTGTGTGAAGCGAGATAATTAAGATAAAGTAAAGGTATTAATCCCACTCCGGAGAGTTTTAATACTTTCAACACTACTATATCTTAAGTAATGATCTCAGAATATGTGTCTGTGTGTCTGTCTGTGTGTCTGTCTGTCTGTGAGCGTGTAATTTCCGAGCGGCCTAATCAAGAAAACGGTTAAAGTTATGAGACTGGTTTTTTCGGTATAGTTTCGGCAAAACTCAGACGAAGCCAAATGATAAAGGTTTTTAAATCGGTCGATGGTAAGTGGTTTAATTAATGGTTTTGTACCACAAATGTGACATAAAATGGATCTCTCTTTCTCTCCCTGGCTCTCTCTCTCTACTGCATTATATGTAGCTAATTAGGTTAGCCGCGAAAATTCATACTTTCATACGACATTGTAATGCGTGTTTTCGAATATGATAGGCGGGTTTATATTTTTGCATTTCAACTGCGATAGTGAAGTCCCGGCCGTAGGCACGGGTTACACTAGTAACAAACAATTTGAGGAAACGATGTAACAGAGTCGATATATTTTAATGTTGCCATGGGGTGGCAAGTCCCCATACATCGTGGTCTGGTAGTTTTATTGCGCCTTAATATTATAGTATACAGAATACAGATCCATTACTTGTCTACCAAATAAATCTGCAAAGTGATCAAATTTACCGATAGCACTATTATACCGTATCATCACGAGTCACGACTAGAAGTGTGACTCTATTCTTGTGGAACCTAATAAGACGGGATAGGATAAGAAAGGGACCAGCATTTAGGGGATTATAATAAGTATCGTGCACTAATATGAGTCACTGTAGCAGCTCGGGACTCCTAATAAAGTTGATTTGATTACACATTCTTACATCTTGGTTATACTAAGCACGCGTCAACTTTACTTTACTTATCGTAACAATATTATCGACTTTACTAGTGTAACCCGTGTCTATGGCTGACACTTCATTATCGCAGTTAAATTGCAAAAGTATAAACAGTTAAGGTTAAAACAGTGCAAAAGTATATGAACACGATCAGTCGAAACCGGCCGCATTTGAGTGAATTTAATTCTGAGCGCCCCTAACGTATCCAAAAGTAATACTTAATAGATAATCGGGAGCAGGACTCTAGAGCGGGGGACCCTAGAGCGGGGGACTGTAGAGCGGACTCGGTCGGAAGTAGGACCCTAGAGCGGAGTCAAATCGCCAGGGTAGGACTCTAGAGCGGAACTCCCTTACAGCGCTAGGACTGAAATATCCTCATGCTACTCTAAAATTCAAACGATTTCTTTGATAAAGAGGTATAATTATGAACTGGTCGTAAGCGAAATACCGACCAAGTACGTGCACTCAAGCAGATCATTTAGGAATGAGGATCTCATCAGTGACACTTTAGCACCTACTAAGGGTACCCATGTTCACTGTTCAGTCTGGTGACAGGGTATGATCTAGATCAGATCCCATCGCATAGCGGTTCCTGTTAGTGATTTCGATAGTGCAGTATTAATGTCACGGAGAATTTAGTTTTAGTATATCACATTCGATTCCTACTCCTCTTTACAACTATCTACAATATGCAGAGTAACAGTCATTACTCAACTTCTCCTGGTCGCCTCTACACCCTTAGAGATTCCGTTTTTGATACCCCTAAACCTCACGTCCACCCTGCGAACTTTTTAGACTGCAAAGTGAAGACCATCTACTCCCGTGCCAAGGATCTTCAGATATTCTCCAACAACCCTCTTGCCCGGATCCTAAACTCCGTCAAGCAAGGTGCATCAGAAGCCGCACTTCTCAACCTCCCTAAGACCTCCTCTTTAAAACGCTCTAGAGTCCTCATAGTATGGGTCCGGTAAGGGATTTCCGCTCTAGAGTCCTACCCTGGCGATTTGTCTCCGCTCTAGGGTCCTACTTCCGACCGAGTCCGCTCTACAGTCCCCCGCTCTAGAGTCCTACAGCCTGGCTCCACTGTCAAATTACTTAATTAAAAACCACTTACCAGCAGCCGATTTAAAAATACTTTGCTTATTTGGTTCCTCGTAGTTTTGTCGAAACTATACAAAAAACCAGTCCCATAACTCTAACCGTTTTCTTGATTAAGCCGTTCGGAAATTACACACAAACGAAAGAACACACACACTTTTTGGGGTTATTAGTATAGATAATAGTACACCAAAGTTAATAGCTCTGGAATATTCTGACCGCTGAATTACGAATATGTTGATCAGCATTCTCAGTTTAATATCATTCATAAATATAATAATAATAATTCATAAATATAATAATAATAAATATAACGGAAGATTAAAAATTCAGTGTAGCTCCTTAAGTCCTTAAGTGTAATATGTCATCTACTTTGGTGAACATGGATACTGGTATACAGGAGCATATCATCAGGCAAAGGAAACTCCAGTAGAGATACAAGATCTTTTGGACTGTGTGCGCCCCTCTCTCCCCAATAGGAAGAGCTGGCTGAACTCTTGCCTTGTAACAAGATATACAGGCAACAGTAGCCATATCCCTCAGCACTGTGACAATGAGGTACTTATTGACCCTGAATCAATAATAGTCACTGTGTCTCTTGGTGAAGAACGCACAATAAAGTTCACTCATAAGTCGACTGAAAAGTCCTTAAAGCTCAAAGATGGAAGTGTGTACGTGATGTCCAGGTTGTCCCAGGAAATCTGGAATCATGGTATTGAACCTCTCACTAATGAAGAAGATGAAGAAGAATCTGATGAGAAAAATTCTGTGAGGTACAGCTTTACCTTTAGGCATATTGCGCCTTACTACAAAAATAGCACAGTTTTAATTGGGGACTCAAACACTAAATACATTAAATTTGGTAAAGATGTTGGAACTCTCGGAAAATGGGTTCCTGGTAAGCGAATGTGGGCTGCTAAAATTGACGATATTCCTGCTCCGAAAGACATAGGCCCTTATCGGAACATTGTTATACACACGGGAATCAATGATATTCGGGATGATTCCAACAGACCATCTACTAGAACACTTATTGCTAAGCTTAAGAAGAAATGTAGTGAAATTCAGCAATTTTATCCTAATAGTAAAGTTCATATTAGTCTACTCTTGCCCACTAAATCACAGTTTGTTAACTCACGTATAGGGGAGTTAAACAGTTTAATTGTCGACATGGTTTATAATAGGAAAAACATGTTTATTATAGATAACTCTGTACTAGGTTCTGTTAACGGATGCATGCCTTCTAAGTATGGTCGATTCTCACGTGATGGCACACCATTGGTCAATGATGTTGTACATCTCGGAAGAGAAGGCCTGAAAATATTTTGCATGAGTATAAAACGATGTATTGTACAACGTGGTGGAAGTCAGTCCACGGAAAGATTTAAAGGTGGAAATGGTGACTATAGGAGTGCCCTAAGTAGGGGTAGTAGGGGTGATATCTTACCGATATGACCTCAATAAACTTTAATATTACAAGAGAGAGATGTCCAGGTTGTGATAGCAATGTACTAAGCCATCATAAAGTCATAATATGTGAGTGTTGCGATACAATATATCATGCCAAATGTTCTGAACAGAGCTTTAAATTTGACCATGTTAAACAAATGTGGCACTGCAGTCAATGTTTCGCCTTCAAATCCCAAAGGTACAATCCTTTCAACTCAATTATTTATGACAAATATGATCCCAACACTGTAGAAAGAGACGAAGATATGGAGACTATTTCAAACATTCTAAAAGACTGTAGGTCTTATAACATGTCAAATTTCAACCGGCTGTCAAAAAACATACTTAACCATAACAAGCCGTTTATATCTATTGTGTTTAACAACATTGATGGGAACGCATCTAACTTTGACAGCTTTATTACTGATATGAGTCAATATGATGAGAAATTTGCAGTTATTGCGCTAGCTGAAACAAACATTGATGAGGAAAATAAAGATTTATACAAAATTGATGGTTACAGCAGTGAGTATAACTCCAAAACTGATGGGAAAAAGAAAGGTAGTGGCCTTGGTGTATATATTGACAATAAGTACCAATACAGCCGAATCGAAAAGTTATGTAAATGCTCTGACAATCTTGAAACACTTTTTGTTGAGATCACTAACACAGAGGTTCCACAGATTGCTGGTGTTGTCTACAGGCCCCCTAGTGGTGATATTCTAGATGCACTTGCTGAGCTTGACGTGTTGATGAAATTCCTACCGTCTAATAATGTAGCCTTGACAGGTGACTTCAATGTTGATCTTTTGGCCCAGGGACGAAACATAGCTGAATTTGAACAAACTATCTACAGTAACAATTTAATCCCTTTGATATCGATTGCCACCCATGCCAAGCCGGGTTGCAACGAAAGCTTAATTGATAATATTTTAGTGAACTCTACTGAGCGTGTCTTAGGATCTGGAATTCTTGAATCCAAGATTTCCCATCATAACCCAATCTTCTGTTTCATATCGTGTAATACTAAAGAGAGTCCAAATGATACCAAACTTAAACCTAAGTATGATTACTGTGAGTCTAATATAGAAAGCTTCCTTAATGACATTGGAAGGGATATCTACCGATCGAACTTTTCGTATGATGAGGAAGGTTTTGAAAAATTTGTCGAAACTGTCCATGAAAAAATCGAACTGAATTTCAAATTGGACTCTACTGCTGGTTTTCAATCAAAACGCAATAGATTGATGAATCCATGGATCACTTCTGCGTTAATTAAATCTGTGTTTACTAAAGGCTTTCACTACAAGCGATGGAAGGCTTCGTGTACCAAAATCAACCCATTAGGTGAGGAAACTTTATATCTTAAGTATAAGGAGTATCGTTCTATCCTAAACAAAGCTATAAAATCTGCGAAAAAAGCCCACTATGGAAAAAAATTTGAACTTGCTAAAGGAAATATTAAAAAAACCTGGGAATTGATTAACGAACTCAGGGGTAAATCTAAAAAAGATATAAAAGCATCATTCTTAATTGATGGTCGAATTGTAACTGAACGCCGTGAGATTGCTAACGGATTTAACATCTACTTCTCGTCTATTGCTCGTAATCTTAATTCAAAAGTTCAATCTTCTGTACCATCTCGTACGGTAACTGA